CAACACCCAAAAATTTGAAATAGAAACAGACACGACACAAACACTCAAACTAGCATCGATCTCGGGGTGATGGTGATGTTTGGCGAGGGTTTGGAAGGTGTCGGGATCGTGAATGAAGTGGCTAGCAAACTGAAAACAATAAGGTAATGGTTTCCCGGATTCCAGACAACAATTAAGCGACAGATATCTATGTGGCAAGACTGTCTGGAATGATAGCAGCCAAGGGGGAGGGCATTCCTACAATCACCACAGACTTGAATTGCATAACAACCTTCTTTTCCTCTAGTAACCTTTTTCGGAACACATCATGGAGATATATATTGTATTAATTAATGAAAATGATACATCTTATTATCATAGAAAAATGAAAAATGGCAAAGGAAACCATCATTTTTTTAATCAAAACCATTCAGCTCCCAATTAATCAGGATTTAGCTTCATCCTCTTATTAATCTTTTTAAAAATGCTGACATGGACGTCCTTGCTACTTGAATCGGACACATTAAGGACAGGAGGTTGGGTCCTTATAACAATGAGGCAAGGAGGCCGGCCCTCCTTTGTCCCCAGAGCTTCTCGCCCAACCCCTTATATATATATATATGTATATATCAATGAGGATATCAAAAACAAAAAAACACTCGTTTTGTCAAATAAAACTATAATATAATAAACAATTTTTAACTTGTACTAGATGATTATCAAAATATCAAGATGATGTGAATTAATGATGTCATCATACTAATAGAGTTCGCAAAAAGGCAAGAAGCTTCAAATTCATAGCAGTCTAATATCGGCGTTAACCTAAACACCAATAGAAAAATCAAATATTATTACTAAAAGCAAATAGGCGGTTACAACCAACACATATCGAATCTCAAACTAAAGAAAACTCACAACTGACAAGCAGATGCTCGACTAACTGATCTGAGTACGCAGCACATACATACATCCATCTATATATTCGTAGATACATACATACATGTATATATATATATATATATATATATATATCTATGTGTTTATGTGTTTGTGTGGACAAGTTGAGTCTCGCAACTTAAAGGCATTCGCAATCGTACTCCCTAACATGGTTGTAGAAGAAAAATAGGATCAATATTGACAAAAAGTGTCTCGTAGAGTTTTCAATTGGTAACTAGCAACATGATCATGTGTGGTATTTTGTGGTGCTCTAGAATGCCCGCCACATCTTATTGGGAGACCATGACAGTTTAACTACAGGACTCGACATGACGGGTATAGGAATAACTACTCATTCACTAAGGATGGAAAGCACATTGTTCTCTTACCCTCTGTGAAGTTCGAGGTGACAGGTACTCTTGTCAGCAAAGAAACGTCGGCTTGGTCGGTTTTGGTGATGATAGAAGATAGCAGGACATAGGTGTCGATTATAGACAGTGCAATCACTGCAAAGAGTAATTAAGAATATCATGAAAGATACCTTACCGCATGGGCGTCACCGTTAGAGAGAGCTCAATCTGTTCCCATGTTAGATAAGGATGAGCCATAATTGAATCGATATGTTATAAAAATGTCATCTCACATGAAAATCTAGCGGAAGAGATATTTATGAAAGCTTCGCCTAGATTTGACAAAGGTTTTGATGTTTCTAAAGTATGTAGGTTAAAGAAAGCAAATATATGGTATAATATAATCCCCTCAAGCATATTTTAGAAAAATCGCAAAAGTCATGTTGAAAATGTAGTAAAAAAAACATTGGGATCATATTCTCTTTATAAAACATTATACGAGATAGAACTTACTAAATCACTAGTGCATAAAAATGATTATTTATAAATAAAATGGCAAAACTAAAAAAAATCCAGCAAGAGATGTCATGCAAATAGTTCAAGTCAAGAAACTTGGGAGGCCAAGAATATATCTTTCAAATTGAGGTGAAATTTTTTATGAGGGAGTGCATTTAATCAAAACAGGTGGTTAGGTTGATAGAATTTAGAAAATTAATTGAACCAAATCAAATTATAGGCAAAATCTAATTGACAAAATAATGGTAGAATCAAACTAAAATAAAATGCAATATAGTTTGATTTATTCTACTCATTTTTGGTTCGGCCGAATTAAAGAAAAAAAAAAGTAAAAATTTGGTTTTAATAATGCATAAACCAAAATTCAATTATAATATAAGGAGAAAAGGAGAAAATAAACCGAATAATTAATATGTATATATAAATATGATATTTTGACGATTTGAATTTATATATTTTTAGTGATATTTTGATTTTCGATGTAACCATATTTTTAAACTTAACTAAAATTCACAATCCAAATAACCCTCATTTCAAATAAAAAACCAAACCACCTTTAACAAATCGAACCAAACCAACCAAGTATATTCGGTTCAATTTTTCAATTTAAATTTATTACTGCACGCCTGTATTTATTTCTCAATAAAAAAATATTAGAACTCTTGAGAGAAACTAGGACTACGGATAGCAAGGCTATCAGATCATTTATTGAAACGAATCATAGAGTGGATGAAGAGTTGAATGCAACTGTTCTAGACCAGAGGAGAAACCAAGAATAGTTGGGAGGTTGATTAGATAATCTACACAAGGCCAAATATTGCATATATTGCTAATGCAATTGATATTCATTGTTTTTTATTTTTAGCTCAGTAGAAAAGGACAGAGAACATAAGCCATGATTTGTTTCAGAATTGCTTCTAGTCCCTATACATTTTGTGACACTTTACAAACGTGATATGTGAATTTAGTAATTTAGTTAAGCTGTAAATTGCAATCTTTTAGTGACGGTGAAATTAATATATAAGAAGCAAAGTTCTCATTTGAAATCTATTTGTCTTAAAAATGCAATTTCTTTGCAAACTAAAATTAATCATTGACCACACCTTGGATATTCATTTTTCAAATCTTTTAGACTATATTGCATGTTCCATATACAGAAAATTTTAAATGTTTCAAGCTATGTCAAACATCTATTAGCAAGTGTCTAATTCAAAAATAGAAATAATTATTTTCTATGTACAACATTTTGATCTTTAGAGACACTATGCAATAGAGATTCAAAATGTTTCCAAAGAATTTAACAATTGAGCATCTTATTATTAACAATATTTGTTTCGATCCAATTTTAATAGCTCTAAAAGCTACCATCACCAAAGTATGATATCAACTAGAAGATGAGAGTCTCTCACTATCATCAATGGCAATATCAAAAAAATAGCTTTATGAATCGAGCTTATCCATTAATTCTAATTAATTTCTATATAAGGTTAAAACTCTGAATACATGAGTTTGTTTTGGACAATTTCTATCTATTTTATAATCTTTTCCTTCATACTCCTTTCACAGTCAGTACATCTAACTATCTTATCTAAAAATTCATTTTCACAACTTTATCTTTAAAAGGAGTTATTCTCATGATCTTGACAATAAAAATATTTTAGCTAAAATATTTCTAATTTTTTCATACTTCCATCTTAAAGTTCTCATTTCTACCACATAATTGATTGTCGATGGAGTCCTTGTTGTCCAACATTAGACTATATGTCTAACTCTAGCTTTCTGATATTTCCAATTTCAACTACTAGATGTTATGCCCTCATCAAGATCCTCTTTTTGTAAAAATAAATCCAAAATACCTATTTAACATAAGTACCATTTGATCTTCTAACAATATCAAATCTTTAGAAGTTGAAAGTGTGTGGCCAGGTGTTTTGCCTGTCAACGGTCAGGTTGTAGGCAAGTTGTTTTGCTTGTCAAGGGGTGGGTTGTAGGCTTGTTGATAGGGCATAAACTTCAAAATACTTTCATTTCTAATATCTTGCAAAACATAGATGCAAATTCAAAAAAAAAAAAAATGAATTTTAATGAAATGAAAGGAAATAATATATTTTTATGGACATAAAGCATTAAAAACATAAATAAAATGCATATGAATACCTTTAAAGCCCAAGGCAGGCGGCTTTGTTGGAATAAATAAATAAATGTCAAAGAGAAACAAGGAACCGGGCAAGCTTTCTTTTTCAGTTGCAAAAAGGGAGCACAAAAAATCAATGAAAATGTTGAGAAAGTATCCAAGTTAAATTAAAATTTTACTTGTTAAGGTATTTGACCTTCGAAAGCAATCCCAAACTCATTCTAATGTCACGTTAAATGCATGCTCGTATAAATATATATATATATATTAGTTTAAACAAATTATCAAACTCATTTAAACTGAAGAACTCCCGTTAGCAACCGTAGGTTACCTCATCCGAGAAATTCTCGTTAACTCAAAAAGAGTTATGTTTGTTCCTTGTTTTGAAAGTGTAGATTTAATTTTTGGAAGTGTGTTTTTGTCGTTTTCGATTTTGGTTTAATTTTGCATGTAAAATAAATAAATGTATATAGAAAATATTGTAAGATAAATAGGAAAATTGCTATACATACAATATAAATGCGTACCTGGGTCTCTACTACAGTTGCATGGTTAGTATCATAAATGTTGGAACTTAAATACTTCTTTTTCAATCCTTCACAACATTTCTCTTTAGGATTTCATTGGAAAGGGCCAACATATCATTGAATCTATTATCGTTACAAACTTCACGCTTTAAATTCAATGTTATTGAAATATTTTCTTCTTCAGTGCTGCTTATTAAAGACAACTTTTTCATGTTGAATGAAATATCAAAAAAACTAAGACAACATTTTTTTTTTTCTTTCATGCTGCTAGATCAAGCACCGTGTAAAGAATAGCAAGTTCCGCTTCTCCGCTGTATAAAGTGTTCTACCAAGCCTTAAGTGCAGCACTCCTGTTCGGCAACTTTAAAGTTATATGATTATATCCCTGATGATACACAGTCCACCCCCTTCTAATTTATATTATCCACAGCATTAACAAAAAAGAAAAAAACCTGCCCAATCCTTCAGTCGTCAATTCTAAACTTTGTGTAGCAAAAGAAATCCATGAATAACCTTCTGCCTTAAATAAACAAAATGCGTTTTTACCCTAATGATTACCCGTGGCTAGCTCGTCAAAGAAGGACGGAGATTCTGGCACGGCTGCTGCCCTAAGGTCGTTCTGCCGTGACTGAGCTTGCTCGATCAAGTACGTAAAGTCTGCTCCTTTGCTCTTAGGCGCTATTACTCCTTCTCCCAATGTGGCACCAGAGGAGCTCTCAGCTTGATCCTCGCCATCATCATAACGATCCAAATTGGAAGGCAGGCCATGGGAGTGCGCTCGCTGGACTTTCCCCTCTGGTCCTATCTGGGCAGCCTTCTTCTTCTGGGCAATAGTTGCCGGCGACGCGTGCTTCCTTCTACCTTGTTGAGAGTAAGATCTCTTCGCTTTGGCGGACGCCTTGGGATCCATCATCCGATTCTCGCATAAACTCTGGCTTACAGAGAAAAGCGCTCTCTCACACTCCCCTTATCACTGAGTACTCCGCTGATCTCGTTTCGAACAGAAAAATCGATTTCAAGCGATCTTCTACTTGGAAAATGGAAATATATACGTGTGGAGTTAGCCTACGGTTCCAATTTCAACTTTCTCCGCCATTAGGGTTACTCGGAATATATGATTTACACGGAAATTTTAAAAACTTTGATCGAAACTGGCATGACAATTAATCATGACTTGGTTAAATGTGTTGTTTGGTAGCATGGACTTAGGCCTCGTTTGGGGTGGTGTTTGGGCTATGATGTGGTTTGACGTCATAAGAAATCAAGGTTTGGTGTGGCAGTCTTAGTGCAATTCAGGACGTTATAAGTAAAATGCGAGTTGCAGGTTCGACCTCGTGACCTGAGTTTTATTTCTTAAATTTTACTCTACTGTCATTCGTGATTCGTTTAAGTTCTTCTCGTTTGTCGTGTGCCCTAACCTTCTCCATCGTGCTCTTTCTTCATCTGCCCTGAGCTCTTGTTTTTGTCGCCTTCTTCCTTTGGTATCCCCTTTCCCTATCTTTTTTTTGGTGGATTTGCACCTATTTTTGGAAAGGTTTTATTTCCACGTTTTTCCCTCAGCTGCTTGATGATCTGTTGTGGGTTTCGGATTTTGATGTTTATGTTGGATTTTTTCTAATGTTAGCGCTATATTTTGATATTTCTTTGAGAATTTGTGAAGTGGTGATGATAATAGAAGTTGTGGATGTGGTGATGGCATTGAGAATGGTTTCGGTGGTGTTGGTGTTTCTTGTTGTTGTGAATTTCAAATATCTTCCTATTAGATGATCTCTTTATAGGCTCCAAAAATTATAACTGTCTCGAACTCTCTGTTTTTATATATATATATATTTGATTGCTGAGGTTTTGAGGGTCAAATTTGATAGAATAGTAGATAAGACACTACCCATAGATTTAACCCTCATTTTGTGAGAATTTTTGGATATCGAGTGGCTCTTCCTATGAAGAAATATTGATCGTGGTATGAGTACCTTGAATATCAAAACTTGTTTTGACAGGAATTGGAATTGAAATCTCACAAAATGTTTTGCCCTCGTCAACTTATTTCTCACAAAATTTAACTCATATTTTATCAGTAAGTTCTTCATAAATGGGGAATAACGCATGTTAGTTATAAGAGGATTTGTATTAACAATAGATCAATGCAAATTAATCCAAATAAATGTGGACATTTAATTCAATCATTTTTTTTTTCTTTTTGACATTATGAATCCACACAAGTGTTTTGCTTGAGTTGCTGTGAAGTAACTCCATTCACATATGCATATTACCATTTATATCATGCCTTTCTTAAAACTGACAATATAAATGCTTGTACTCATATGTTGCTTGGCATATTTAGAACATTTTGCATATTGGTTGTATTTTCCTTGCATGAGCCAATATAAATTCAAATAGTTGTATGGCTGGCATTTGTTGGTTCAATTGTTGTTGTTTGTTATTATATGCTTATTGGGTTGTTGATATCAATGAGAAAAGTTTCATTATAGCTTATTTTGCGTTTGATTTATTTTTCGCGCCTGGTAGAGTGCATTTTTTTGTACAATTTTTTTACTGATCTTGACAATGCTAAAGTTGTATCCTGATATAGTGAATTTTAATACATAACACCCAATTCCCATGTATTTACATGTCCACTACTTAAACATCTTACATATATTGCACACAAAATTTTCATATCAAATAAAAAATACTAATAACTTTTTAAAAGTGACATGCACATTTTCATACATAGCTAAAGTGAAATGTGTAAAAATTGAAGTTTAGCTGTACTTCAAAGCCTTTTTTTTCCTTTGCAAATCTTAAGATCGGAAAATGTCTTAGATGTTGTCATGCCCAATAGGTAGATATATTTTTGAATTATCTAATGTTAGGAAAGCTTCTTGTGCTTTGAAATATTGTTATTGAGATAAAACAAATATAAACAAATATGGTGGTTATGGGTTGGGTGATGGTTTTTTGTTGTGGCTTGGGGTGGTGGTTGTCGCTTAGGGTGAGGTTTTTGTGGTTGTGGCTTGGGGTGGTGATTGTGGCTTGGGGTGATGGTTTTGGTTGTGGTTTGCGGTGGTGGTTGTAACTTGGGGTGGTTGTAGGTTGAGGCGACAGTTTTGGGTTGTGGATTGGAGTGGTGGTTGTGGCTTGGGGTGAGGGTTTTGTGGTTGTAGCCTGGGTGGTGGTCGTGGCTTAGGGGGTTCTGTTACTAAGGCTTCGGATGGTGACTGTAACTTGGGGTGATGGTTTTTGTTATGGATTGGAGTGGTGGCTTTTGGTTGTGACTTAAGGTGGTGGTTTTTTTTTTGTGGAAGTTGTGTTGTGGCTTGTGTTTGGGGTGGTTGGTTGTTGTCATGTGCATATTTTGTTGCATTTTTTTTTAATCATAGTAATACAATAGCTAAAACTAAAGAGGCGGTTACACCTATAATGTGGGACAAAGAAACCAAAATAATATTTTGTGACATTTGCCTCAAAGAGATCGTTCTGAGAAAGAGGCCTGCTACATATTTTAATAAGGAAGAGTGGTAAAATATTATCAAAAAAAGCAAGGAAAGTACAGACAAAGAGTAAGACAGAATGTAATTGAAGAACAAGTATGATCAACTAAAAAAGGATTGAAAATTTTGAGTCAATAGGTTTGGGGTGGGATCCGATGAAGCGAACCATTAATGTTTCAGAGGAGTGATGGGCAGAAAAACTTATGGTAAGCATTTTTGACATGTCCCCTAATTTGATCAATTTCATTTTATTTTTAAATTAAAGTGTATGATATAAATTTATAGGTGGTGCCCGCTGCAAAGAAAGTTAAATTTTGTGAACTTGATCCAGTGAGACAGGGTTTGGTGGAACATCCGAGAACTTGAGAACTGACCGATCTGGTAATTCAACCAAAGACCCCAGCCTGGACCTCCATGAACTTAAGTCCACCTCCTGTTCTAAGCATCCGCAGATTGAAAAGAAAAAGAAAGTTGAGACTACTTTCCTTAAAAGCTAGATATCACAGCTGGTGTCTTCTTGCAACGCTAAACCACACACACCTCAAGCAAATTCTATCGACTAGGTCCTGCAAATTCTGAATGCAAATAGGGAAACTTTTAAGGATGAACCATTATACTTGTTTGCAATAGAGTTGCTTCAAGAACCAGCCCGTAAAGATTTTTTCGTGAAGATGTCTGATAACCGTAGGGTGGCATATCTATGATGCTTTTCTGATCACATGAACACTTAAGAGACTTCTTTTTATTTACAATCGCTTGGAACATTTGTATTTATTTATTATTTTTTCATTTTGCTTTGTATTTTTAACTGCTTGGGACATGGCTTTTTCAATGATGCTTGTATGTTTATTGTGTTGTTCGTAAAATTATGTGACTTTAGTTAATCCATTGATGTTTCAATGTTAGCCAGTACGATACTACTCTACATGGATGCAACTAGAGAAAGATGCAGAAGGAGAATTGTAGATGCCGTATGCTTAATCTACAAATATTACAACTCATACATAGATCACTCTCATTGCATAACATCCTCATATGTTGGGTACAAATGGGATGGGGAGTTTCTTGCAGGCAATCCAATGAGATTTAACAATATGTTATGCATGGCACATGCGATATTCAATGATCTGTTAGAGGAACTACACATAAAACATGGACTTCATGGCTCTTCCAGGATGACTTTATGAGAGTTGTTGGCGATAACCTTCTACATATTATCCCAAAATGAATCAATGCGAGGAACAATGGAGCAATTTCAACACTCCTCTGAAACAATTTGCAAATACTTCTCAGTGGGGTTGAAGACACTTGTGAACTTTTCTTCACAAGTCATAAAACCTACTGATTCTTCGTTCGCATGGACCCCTACGGAGATTTCAAGTGATGCATGATACCAACCGTTCTTTAAGGCAGTGTCTCAAATGCATTACATTCAATTTCAAAAGAAAAAACCGTTATTGTGAACACAGTGTTATTTTACCAAGATTGTATTGGAGCAATTGATGGAACACTCGTTGACGCATGTATTCCAATAATGATAAGATAGCATTCATCGGTCATTGTGGGAGTCTCATGTATAATGTCATGATCTTTTTGCGACTTCAACATGTGTTTCACTTTTATTATACCCATTTGGGAGGGCAGTGCACGTGACAGTAGAATTTTCAAAGTTGTGACGTCGAATGCCACTTACAACTTCCCACATTGTCCTGCAGGTACTCTTGAGACTCAACTAATCTCGTAATTAAATTTTACCTCAAAATTAATTATGAAATTCATATCAGGAAAATTACTACTTGGTTAATGCTGAATATTTGTTTCCTTATACAAGATATTATATACCATAATTTGAGTGAGTAAGCAATGTATCACGGCAGACAATAAATCTTCAATATAAGAGATTCCTCCTTACATGGTGTCATTAAGAAGATTTTTTGTGTTTGAAAGAAGAAATGAGTTATACTCCGTGATATGTCATCATACCCATTTCCTAAATATGTACATATTGTAATTATCATGATAACTCTCCACAATTACATTCGGTGACATCCTTCCCACAATGACATTAACTTTCGTAAGGCGGATGAAAATCATGAGCATGTACCTACCGCGACATTTGAGTACCGTCTTGGATATTCTTTGTCACAGCTTGAGAATGATGCTTCTACCACTATAGTAAAGATGGGGAAGGTGCTTGCTAGATGTCACAATTGAGGGAACAAACTACAGGTGCGATAATAGGATGGTGATTGGAGTATTTTTTTTTCTTTATTCAATACTAGTTATATTATATTTCTTTCATTTAAAACCATTTGTAATTTACATTTTATATTAATTGTTTGAACTTTTTACGCTATTTGTAAGTGTATTTTTTTTTAAT